ATCAACAGCCGAGTTGATATAGCCATGTCCGTCTGTCCGTCTGTCTGTTTCTATGCGAACTAGTCTCTCAGTTTTAAAGCTATCTTTATGAAACTTTGCAGAAGTCCCTCTTTCTGTTGCACGCAGCTCATATGTCAAAACCAGCTGGATCGGACCACTATATCATATAGCTGCCATAGGAACGATCGGTCGAAAAGTAGGTTCTTGTATGAAAAACATTTTTGTTTATAAAGTTATCTTTACTAAACTTGGTATTTATTAGTTTTACTACGTTCCCCATATATATGCAAAATCCTATTAAGATCGGACAACTATATCATATAGCTGCCATAGGAACGATCGGTCGAAAATTAAGTTTTTGTATGGAAAATTTTTATGTTTTTCAAGATATCTTGACCAAACTCGGTACTTATTAGTTTTACTAAGCTCCCCATATATATGCAAAATTCTATTCAGATCGGGCAACTATATCATATAGCTGCCATAGGAACAATCGGTCGAAAATTAAGTTTTTGTATGGAAAATTTTTATGTTTTTCAAGATATCTTGACCAAACTCGGTACTTATTAGTTTAACTACGCTCCCCATATATATGCAAAATCCTATTAAGTTCGGACAACTATATCATATAGCTGCCATAGGAAAGATCGGTCGAAAATTAAGTTTTTTGTATGGAAAATTTGTATGTTTTCAAGATATCTTGACCAAACTCGGTATTTATTAGTTTTACTACGCTCCCCATATATATGCAAAATCCTATTAAGATCGGACAACTATATCATATAGCTGCCATAGGAACGATCGGTCGAAAATTATGCTGTTGTATGGAAAATTTTTATGTTTTTCAAGATATCTTGACCAAACTCGGCATTTATTAGTTTTACTATGCTCCCTCCACTTATGCAAAATCTTATTCACATCGGGCTACTATATCATATAGCTGCCATAGGAACGATCGGTCGAAAATTAAGTTGTTGTACGGAAACCTGTTTTGTTTTTCATGGTATCTTAACCATACTCGGCATTAACTATTTTCCCTGTGCTTCTTAGAATCGGGCAAAGCACTATAAGCATTTTGAAAAGGTTGGGTCTGCAAGGGTATTAAATCTTCGGTGTGCCGAAGATAGCACTTCTTTCTCGTTTTTATTAATTTTTCATTTTGTGCTAATTATACATTTACGTACTTATTTTGTTCGTTCCTAAAATATAAATTCTTTCGAGCACAACTGTCAAAGTGATTTATGCTGGAGTACCTAAATAATTCTACTGAATATAATTCATTTAAATTAGGTTTCCAAATATTATTATACATTTGTGGAGGGTATTTTTAATTTGTCAAGGACCCCAAAAAGTATACATGTATATTCCAGATCAGCTGCAACAGCCGAGTTGATATGGCCATGTCCGTCCGAACGAGTCTCTCCGTTTGAAATATCCTCTTGAAAGATTGCATAGGTGCGTCTTTTTGTTTTAGGCAGTACATATGTCTGAACCGATCGGATTAGAAGACTATATCATATATAGATATTTATCAAGATATTTTGATCAAACTCTGCATCTATAAGTCTATAAGTTTCACTATGCTCCCTACATATATGAAAAACATTATCTAAATTAGACCAATATATCATACAACTGCCATAGTTAACATCGGTCGAATAGTAGTTTCTCATATAGCATAAAATTCTGTTATCCAAGATATTTTTATCAAACTCAGCATTCACTAACTTCGCTATACTCACATATCAGCAAAAGGCAAATGTCTTCAAGGGTATTAAATCGTCGGCGTGCCATAGATATCCTTCCTTTCTTATTATTAGTTTAATTTAAATATATGAAATATATATACGAAAATGGGCGTTCGTTTATATATTTGATTGTTTTTAGTTGTCATTTAAATCGAACAAATCGTAAAATATGATCGATCTATATGGAATGTGTAAATATGTATGTATTATGATTAGCCTTTATTTCATGCCCAGTTCAATTTACATTATTTTCCGCTAATTACCAAGCATACATATTATGTTTGTATGTAATAATTGTGTATTTTAATGGAGTGTAATTTAAATATTTGCTGGGAACTTTATCTGTTACATATAATTGTTATTATCTAATGAATGACATCAAACGAAAGAAATTCGCTCAAATGTTTTTATATGCCAAATGCTAATAACTATTATATGATTTATTAGGGGAAACCCCAGTTTGTGATAAAAAGAAAATTTGTAAAAAAAAATTTTATAAATAAACATAATCAATTTAACAAACATTTCGTATAAAATCTAGTTTTATTGTCAGCAGGCTATAATATGAAGTTTACTATAGATAAACGAACATGAAGTATGATTGTAATCTAAATACCCTGTAAAAAGAGGATATAGGTATGCACAACATGCAAAATGAATGCACAATAAATATTTCATGGCGAAATCAAAATGTATATTACATATATTTAAATAACATACATACATATATGTACCTACACATATACATACATATGTATATGAAAATCAAATTGTAAAAGCAAATGAAAGCCGCGTGATCGTCTGTCCCTGCAAAATTAGAACGTTTGCAGAAACAAAAGAAAAAAAAGTAAAATAAATAAATAAAATGCGAAAAAAATTAACAGCCAAAGTTATTGCAAAAGTTTTCTCAGCTGAAAGCGAAAGTTCTCTGCGAGAGATAGTTTAATGCCCGTTGTATATACATACATATGTATGTATGTATGTTGTTTGTGCTATTAAATTTTAGAAGCCACACAAACACAGCGAGAATAAAATAATAATAGTACAAAAAAAAAACAATTCATTGCGGGCGTCGCAGTCGGCGCTGCAAATAAAAAAGCGCTTACGACAGCGCCGGGCCCCATGGCGCACACACAAACGTGTAGCTGTAATCGTTTTTATTGTTATTGTTACTGTTCACACATATGTATATAGATGTGCACACACACACACACACGATGTTCTCGCGATTGTCCAACTCAGTCGCACACATTCGTTGTGCGCTCTAGCGCTCGCTCGCTTACACACATTTGCGAAAAAGTTCTTTGACGTTTTGTTTATTTATTTTGTTAAGCTGCGCGCGTCGCCAGCGACAGCAGCAGCAGCAACAACAACACACCATTAATATATTTCTCTTACTTGAAAGCTTTCGGTCAGGCTCTCTTTCATGTGGTCGCGCTCTCTTGCTGGCTTTGCATTGCTTGGATGTTTTTTGTTGTATTTTAAACGTATACAAAGCGCAAAGAAAAGCAAAAGTACTTCTTATCAATTGCTTAGCGCCCCGCAACGCTGTCTTCCACTCTTCTGTTGCTGTTTGTTGCATTAGAACTTTGCCCAAAAGCAGTTAAGATTAGCGCGAGCTGTAAAAAAAAGTACTTATGCATACATGTGTACATGTGTACATATGTATGTATGCGGGACTTACAAATACGAGGGCAGCCATCAAATTATTGAGTTTGCACATACACATGTAAATATATATGTACATATGGATGTGTGCAGCTGTACATTAATTAGCATTAGCTTATCTGTGCCATTACATTTGGCCGCAAAACATAAGCCTATGTACTTAACCCCTAGTCGTTTACTGCCATGTTTTCATGGTCATTTGTGCGAGCAATTAACAGTTAGCCAGCAGTCAAAACATGGCGGCAACTAACGGCAATTAACACGCCACACACCAATGCACCAACCACCCGCCCCTAAAAGGCAAACACACGCTGCGTATCGAGAGTGAGATAGCAAATGGCACACGCCAAGCGCCTGTTATCGGCTAACGGATATGCAATTAATAATGTTGGCCCAGCAACCGTATCCGGGCCAAGCGCAGGCATCCGCCCAATTGCAATAAAAAATTCATGTTTGATGACAAATTACAATTTGTTTGTGGTAGGTAGCACAGGTAATATATGTATATCGATGTGCTGAGATAATGTAAACAAGCCAAATGCCAAAATGGGAAGGGAACTATTTCCGCTTCCGACCTGCAGACTGATAATAGCTGATAAAGAGAAATAAGCGACGGAAACGAAAATATAAATTTAGAACAGTGCTAAAACTAGCAATGGGAACAAAGTCCTATTTTCGATCACACTCGATAAGACAACACAAATTGTACAGACGTTTGTCTATTTGTTTAAGTGCAAAATTGTCAAATGCTGGCAATTATTGCTACGGTAAATATAGCGGAAAATAATAGACATATAGTGTGTGTAAAATATCAAAACACCTGTCACAGACAATACCAATAAATATACGAAATTAACATAATCATTTCCCACAAATTCTCTAGTGCTTCTTCTTATCCCTTCAAAGAAACTATCACGAGATCTTGAAATACTTTTGCTCATAAACTGGCTTGTAAATGTGTTAATGTATGTTAAATGTTAGTAATAGACTATCATTAACAACATTTTCTAAATAACAATCCGCCCTCCGTTCCTCGCCTCTGATAAATGCTAGAATATCTTTTATTCATATTTAGCAAATTTGATTAAGTTTTGGAACTGATCGAAAAACCAGTTTCAGAAAGTTGCTGTTATGATAGAATAAAAAAAATACGTAAAGTAAAATAATTAATCTTAATTGAATCTTATAAAAAGAAACTTTTTTCGTTAAATTTAAATATTAACAAGTAATTTAAAGTTTTCACCCATTTTCCACTGTTGTGGGTTAAAAGTGAAATTGATTTCGTTTACTGAAAAGGAAACTGTTGGGCAAAAAGTTTCTTGCCATCACTTGGTAAAAATAAGAAAGTTATAAACAGTACTTTTTCACTCATTTTCCACGCGGATGTGTGAAATTTCACAATTTAAATGTTTGGAGCAAAAAGAAAACTACTACAAGGAATGCAGCGAGTTAGTTCTTGCCGGATTTGGGTTAGCTTTATATATTTACACAGAGATTTGAATAATTAAAACTACTTTCTTAGCTTTGTCCCTTTAAAGCTCTCACTTGAATCTCATATTAATAAAACTGATATTCGTATTGCAGGTACAACACTGAACAAGGAGCTATGGACCAGCAATTCTGTTTGCGCTGGAACAACCATCCCACAAATCTGACCGGGGTGCTGACATCGCTGCTGCAGCGTGAGGCGCTCTGCGATGTCACCCTCGCCTGCGATGGTGAAACAGTCAAGGTGAGCAGCATAATATCTAATTAATTAAGCGGAAGAACTAATTAATGTTATTTGCAGGCTCATCAAACCATACTGTCAGCCTGCAGTCCATATTTCGAGACGATTTTCCTGCAGAATCAGCATCCACATCCCATCATCTATTTGAAAGATGTACGATACTCAGAGATGCGCTCCCTGCTGGACTTCATGTACAAGGGCGAGGTCAATGTGGGCCAAAGTTCGCTGCCCATGTTCCTAAAGACCGCCGAGAGTCTGCAGGTGTGTGTTCTTTAAGCTTAGCTCGTCTTTGTAGTCTAGTGTATTAATTCCCGTATCTTTTTTATGGGGGTTTTAGGTGCGCGGCCTTACAGACAACAACAATCTGAATTATCGTTCCGATTGCGACAAGCTGCGCGACTCGGCCGCCAGTTCGCCCACCGGACGCGGGCCCAGCTATGGCGGTGGCCTGGGCGCCGATGTGCGCGACTCACGTGACTCCCTACGCTCCCGCTGCGAACGCGACCTGCGCGACGATCTGCAGCGAAGCAGCAGCAGCCTCAGCCAGAGCGAACGCAGCTCAGCCGCCGCGGCGGCAGCTGCTGCCGCGGCCGCTGTGGCCGCAGCCGGCGGCAATGTGAATGCCGCCGTCGCAGCGCTCGGCCTGACAACCAGCGCCGGCGAACGATCTCCCAGCGTGGGCAGCGCCAGTGCCGCGGCGGCTGCCATGGCCGCCGCAGTCGCGGCCGCTGCGAACAGAAGCGCCAGCGCCGATGCTTTAAACAGTCGCGGCGATGCCGGCAGCGATCGGGGCAGCGAGCGGGGCACGCTCGAGCGGGCTGATAGTCGGGATGAGCTGCTGCAGCTGGACTACAGTACCAAGGATAATAATAATAGTAACAGCAACAACAACAATAGCAGCAGCAGTAGCAGCAACAATAACAACAACAACAGCAGCAGCAACAACAACAACAACAATCGAGAGCGCAACGATAGCAGAGACAGAGATCGGGACAGAGAGCTCTCCACGACGCCCGTGGATCAGCTGTGTAGTAGTAAGCGCAGACGTAAGAACTCATCATCCAACTGTGATAATTCGTTGTCCTCGAGCCACCATGCGAATGCGGCCCACATACAGGACAGACCCTACGCGCAGGACTCTCAGGTGAGTTACGAGCGGAACGAGAAGGCATAAAGAAAGTAATAATGATAACATTATAATTGAGCAAGAAATATGCGACTCCATAAAAGTATGCATATAATGTTGGAAGAATCGTACTAATATGTTTTTAAGAAAACAGTTCATACAGTTTATCACATACTGGCTTTCGTACGAGGTATTAACCCCTTCTGTCAGACTTCGTATAATTCAAGTATTTTTTCCGTTAAAAAAAAAGGAGTTAGACAATTGAATTTTAAATTTTCCTCTGACATTTGCCTTGTAGACATTATTTTTGCAGATACGTAAGAATAGTTAAGCTCTTAAGTGCTGTTTAATAATGTATCTTGGAAAACAGAATATTTCGCCATACAAGAAACTAGGTTTCGACTGATCGTTTCTATGACAGCTGTATGATTTAAAGTCCGCAGTTGATAAGATTTTGCATATATGTAGGGAGTATGATGGAACCTTTAACTGCCGAGTTTGATCAATGTATCTTGCTAAACAAAAAAGTTTTCCATACATGAACCTACTTTATGGAGTCGGAGATGTCTCGTCCTATGCGTTACACATTTAACAGAAAAGTAAAATATCCTCTATAAGGATATAAAAATATCAAGCAAATCTAGATGGAATATAAATATATCCGAATACCCAGCTCGCATTGTAGCCAATCAACGCGTCTGCGGTCCGTTAGATATAGATTCAACAGTTTCTAGAATTGATGCATACCATAAGAGGAGCTGGCTTTACGAGTCTGTATATACCGGTTCCACAATGCAAACACTTTTTGAAAATAAGCGCGAAATTCCAATTTGCGCCACTATTGTGGTGTTGACCACGCCCCAAAGTTTTCCTTAGCGTATAATTAAGTGTTCTATATGTAAAATCGTATGGCATATGACAAATTCCCTGACGAATTACGTATTAGATAGATCAATGCAGTAGAAAACATATCTCATAAAGTATTTTTTTTTCTATTTCGATAAATATCTGGGATATACTGTTTTCAAAGCATAACTCGAGGGTTATAAGTGCCAGAGACAACCAACTTGGCATGCAGTTACTTGTATAGTATGCCCAAATCGAGCATATTTCACATTCAAAATACCTTGCCTCATTCCCCAGAAATATTAAAAATACTACTCATTTTTAAAGATAGAGCCCTGCGCTTAGGCTTATTTGATTTAGGCGATAATTGTGTATTTTGCGATTGCTTAATGAAAGCAAGATTATATTTAATTATATAATATTATATTATAGTTAGGCTATTTAAACGAATCCTCCAGATTCAATGTCTGCACCAAAGGCAAAAACATAAATGCAAACTTAGCCATCTGCAAGTTTTAACTCAACTCAAATCAAGATGATCACCCACCTTAATATTACTGTTCATTGTAATGGGAAATGTTCTGCCAGCCACAAATATGATAGGCTTTTGCACATGCTGCACGAAGATTCTCAAAGTGGACCTGTATTCCACTGCGATTGACTCAATTCTCGACAAGCAGATCGCAAAGGTGGCAAAAGGGAAAGGTCTGCAGCAGCTGTAACAAATACAAATTGAAGAAATTGTACGAAATATATCTGAAAAGTACATAACATTTATCAAATGTTAGATATATCTCGGTCAGAGTAAATACCAAGCACGTCCAAAATAGAACTAGAAATCGCCCGACTCCCCCTTTCGTTGGCAACCAACCCATGAGCTGGATAGCCCGACTCAAATAGGTGCAACACGCCTTGGACTGATTCCTTACCAAAAGCGGAGCTGGATAAATAATTCTGAATATTGCGCTCATTTAAAGGGACACTGCGCACAAATTGCCAAGTGTTGAGCTCTTCTAAGAAATCAAGGATATGAACTTGTTGTGGAATTCCACCTGCTGTTCCATTCACACAGTTGTAGGTGCTAAGGCATTCGCCTAGTCTGTAATTAGTCGGAACAACTGGTAATATTAAATGTCAATCACATTGCAGTCGGTGACAGAATTTTAAATGCATTTAAAGTAAAAATATCAACTTTATGGCTATTTTCTCAGTGATTCATTTATCAGATCAGATCCTAAAACAACAACTGTCCGGGCTCCTAGCTATTAAATAAGTTAGATTTATATCAAGCTCGATATGTTTTGTAGATTTAATTTACTTTGTTGATTCGGTATCGATAACAGACCAATATCCGATTAAAACCTGATACCCTAGCGGACTTAGGCTCGTTGGCGCTAATCAGTATTGTGATTGGATCGGTAGCCGGCTAGAAGCAAATAAATTATCGATAAAAACGTCAATGGATCGATAGCCAGTTAGTAGCCAATAACCGAACTATAACTTTATTTATGTATAACCTTAGTGGTTTGATAGCCAGTGAGCAGCCAACGCTGATCGATTAATGCATTTATCGGTATCGTTAATGGATCTATAGCCAGTTAGTAGCCATTGACCGATCGATAAATACATTTATCGCTAATCGGAATCGGTATTCCTAGCCGATAATTTTCGATAACATATTTATCGATTTCAAACAAATACAAAATTCGTTATGGCATGACGAAAATGTACATGAAGTTTGAGTTTATATAAATTCAGCTAGCAAAACATATGCCAATTCTTGACGGTCGGTTATCAGTGCGCGTTGAAACACGGACAAACAACATTTATGTTTGGCACTTGCGATAGGCAGATATTTTGACTTGCCCAAAGAGGCGGGCCTATCAGCTGTCAGTGGTCTTTTCTGATACGGGAGGGTGTGAGCTTGTGTGTGTAACTTATCTTATTGCTGTTTTAGGCAACAGGCACGTGCCGCTCTCGCGCAGCGATTTTAACTTTTATGTCACTGATAAAAAAAGTGTGCTCCAGACGGCAGTATCCGACTAACAGATCTCCGAAACCCAGCGGCAAAACTACCATTGCAAGTATTCTAGCTGTCTCCTATACATACATTCACGAATACAAACTTACACACGTACCAAAAGCTACGCACCTTATGCTGCGGATGTGCTAATTCTTCCCTCAGTCCTACAATGTGTATAGGAAATGCATTCTTGAATGAATCTGGAGTTTATGGTCTAATATTTATCTATATAGCAAGTTTGTGTATATCAAAGCGCAAGGCTCAAGCTATGAAATTGAGTTTATTTTCTTTTCTTATCAAAAAAGTTAAATATGGTTAATATGTGTACTCTATTAGGTAGTCTAGATACCAAGTTTTGATTAAATAGATCCTGTAATCTCCGCGTTATGCTTAAAATACCCTTTCTTGAAATCGATATTTATCGATACTATTAAAATGACAGAAGCTATCGAAATCAAAGTGATAATATCGTTCTGCATATAGTTTTTGAGAGAAAATATCAAGTCTCTAGCTTGGGTAAAGACACGCCTGCTTCTGTCTCTTCATGGGTTCAGGGTTAAAGAAGAATACACTTAACTGTAAAAGTGCATAGGACATATTGAGAGAAAGTGTACGCTAATTCGTTTTATTTATTTTTGTGACCATTTTACAGGCGAGCAACTTCAAGTCGAGTCCGGTGCCGAAAGCGGGCGGCAGCACATCCGAGTCGGAGGATGCGGGCGGCGGCAGGCGCGATTCGCCGCTCTCGATGACCGTTGGCCATCTGGGCGGTGGCAATGTGGGCGCGGCCAGTGCGCTGAGCGGACTCAGTCAGTCGCTAAGTATTAAGCAGGAGCTAATTGATGCACAGCAGCAGCAACATCGTGAGCATCACGTGGCGCTGCCCCCCGAATACTTGCCGGTAAGTCTATGAATCGACTATCGACTACCTGAACCAAAAGTCAGCCCGTTCCCCCTCCATGATTAGATTTCAATATATATATATGTTAATGCGTAATGCCTTTTAGTTAGCTAAGTTTATTGTTAAGGTTTTTTCTTTTGAACCGGTGCGATGGTTCCAAATTCTGTTCTTAACCACAAAAAAAAAAAAATTGCAGCTACATTATTTTTTTTTTCTTTATACAATATTTCTGTACATATAATTGCATACTTTAAGCCAATTGCAAAATGCTTCAATAGAAAATTTACAAAAAGAAAAGAGAAAAAGAGAATACTCGAAAAAAGCTGCTAACAAATTGTTTTGTTTTGTAAAATTTAAGAAAAAATCGCATAAAGCAACGGCATGTGAGAACGAAGGATTGGTTGTTTGGTTTGGTTTTTGAAATATAGATTTCTCGGAATTCGAATATCTCGAAATGGAATATCGGCCAAGAAAAAGAAAAAATCTCAACAATTATTGCAACAGCATAAAAAAGAAAATTTAACAACAAAAAAAAAAAGAAAAGAAAACAGCGTCAAATCCTTCCTTCTACCAGTAGATTGTTTCTGCCATTTTTTCTGAAGTTGATTTTTCCCATTTTCGTTTGTTTTTCGTTTTTTGTTGGTTTGTTTTTTGTTGCGTTTCCATTGAACGCGCAGCCCAAAGCGAGCAGCACAAAAGACACAGACGCGTTTTCAGGCAACAAAAGCTCCATGCATCAGCTGCTGCTGCAGCAGGCGGTCGAGGCGCAGCTCAAGTCACTGCAGCTGCAATACCAGCAGGAAACGCTCGACAGCACCGTGCAGCGACTGCTGCAGCAGCAGCAGCAGCAACAACAGCAACAACAGCTGCAGCAGCGCCAAATGGAGCCAAAGCAACTGCTGGGTCCACCTGCAACCGCTGCCAGCAGCAGCAGCGGCAGCACTTCCCGCAAGAGCGGACGGTTCCGTGCGAATTGGTTATATCAATTCGATTGGCTTAAATACGATGAGCTGGCCAACACGATGTTCTGCAAACACTGCCGCAAATGGAGCACCGAGCTGGCCGACATACGCACCTCCTTTGTCGAGGGCAACTCCAATTTTCGACTGGAAATTGTTAATCATCACAACAAATGCAAATCGCATCGCCTGTGCTATGAGCGCGAGCTCCAGGAGCAGGACAATCTGGCCACTTTGGCCGCCAGCAGCAGCCGCAGCAGCAGCGGCACAGGCAAGCGGCAATCACCGCCCGATATAATCACCATAAATGTGGGCGAGGACAGCGCCTGATGCCCACCAATACACACAACTAAATGCACAGACGCACACCCGCACACACACAGACACACACATGATGCACTTGCTCAGGTTTAGTTTTAGGCTTAGTTTTAGCAGCTTTTTGTAATTTATTTTAAGCGGCTTGAAGCATTTTGCAATTGAATAATAATAAAATATATAAATATATATATAAAAGAAAAGAGTTTAACAATTGCGTACAACTCTCTACCCCACTCTTTCTCTCCCTCCCACTCTCTCTCTCTCTCTCTCTTGCTCTGTGTCTGCTCTCTCTTAGAGCGCTGCTCTGAAAATGCACGCCGAGGATATGTCCACGCTGTTAACCCAACACGCGCTGCAGGCCGCCGACGCACGGGAGGAGCACAACGATGCCAAACAGATACCACTCGATCAGACGGACAACATTGACGGTGAGTAGCGCCAACTCTACCAATATCTATATATATCTATATATATATATATATACAAACATATATATATATATCTAGTATATATGTGTTTCGTTATATTCTATCTGTGCTTTTAAGCTAATGCACTCGAAGCTAAACGATACCGACAAACGTTATACATATATAAAAAAAAAAATAGAGCGAAACTTGTACAATTTTTAAATTAGCTTTTGATTTCTGTATAAAACTTCATATTTTTTGTCGAGCTACCAAAGTCCGAACGAAAAAAAAAATTGTAGTAAACAACTGTAAAAAATCCGTAGTTCTTAGCTTAATTATTTTCGTATAACCCGTTCCTAACTATCCCAGCATACGTTTCCAGTAGACAAAAATTTTCTAATTGACTGCGGAATAGCTGCGGACAATGGGCATGATATAAAGCATTCTCGAGGCCCCACTGTACGCAGTTATTCCGTTTAACTTGTAAGCTCCCTAAACAATCAAAATCCTGCATGCACTTGATCGTATCCATATATACATATATATATATTATCCACTCCTTGTACCGAACCGAAATCAATTCACATTTCGATGCTGTTAAAGGGTCTTTTCACCCTACACAACTCTTTCCCCTCCCCCTTTTCCACCGCCTCCATGCGCTGAAAGACAAGTTTACTGTACCTCTACAATTTAGTATGTATATTAAGTTCTTTATTTTTATGCTTTTGTATTTATGTATTTATCTATTTTCTGTATGTATATCATTTCTCCTCTATTTATTTTATTATTTTTTTTTTTTTGGCGTTTTGAATGACCACTCTTGAGCGAAAGTTAATTCAAGAACATTCTGCCACGAGAAATAAATGCCATTTGCTAGAGCAACTGATCAACACCTCTCCTACCAAATAGTTTATGCTATATATATATACATATGTATGTGTATATATAGTACATACATTATTTCGTTGTTTGTCGTATTGCCATCATTATTTTTTTGTATTACTCTATATATATAGTTTTAGGCGAAACTACTTTAGCTGACTTATCGTAATCGTAATTGTAATCGTTAACGCAATTTCGTATATTTACGGTTTAGTTTTTTGTATGTTGCCGCATGTTGCATGTTTCTATGACGCATACACACACGCCCACTATTATTATTATTATTATTATTTTGTTTTTAGTTAAGTATCGATACATTTAATGTTATCTTTAATTGATTTTTATCATTTTAACTCGATTCCTCTCAACTTTGAACTTAAGTTACATTTTTCTCATAGTTGTACCTATATAGGAAATGCCTCCGCTGACATCCACGAATTTGTTCAGTTTAAGCAAATTGGCTCACATATTATACCATAACAAATTAAACCAAAACTCATACACACACACATGCATTCTATAAATAATAAAAACTCATAAAAGAAAAAATATTAAAACGAAAAATTAATATAAAATATTATTATCTCAAGTACCATAAGCATAAAACTTCACAAATAGACTCACACGCACACACATACACATTGAAAATTATTATTCACATTCTCTACAATTCCTAATTGCTTTTCAATGCATTTTTAATTTTTCTCTATTTAAAATAATTTTTGAAGCCTTTTTCGAGCGTTGTTTTTGCCTTCTTTTTTTTAAACATTTTGAAGAACTGTTTTTTTTGTATTTTTTATTAACTATTCATAACTGTGCTAAACTTCAAAACCCCTCAAATTTTTCAACTCTATTTTCGTCTTTAATGTTGCAACTTATTGTCTAAGAAAATCGAATACATAAAAACCAAAACCAAATTCAATAACTTTGAGTAATTCTAAAAACCAGACTTTCGGTAAAAAACCAAAAAATAAATACAAAAAAAAAAAAACGCTAAAGCTTCAAAATTCATTCAGTTTCTATATAATTTTTCTGTTGAATATATTTACACTAACCTTGCTGCATATATCATTTAATGTGAGCTCAATTTATTTGCCACCACTGTTTAACGAGCTGTAAATGGTTGTCTGTTTTCTTATAATTGGTTTGTCAATCTACTAAATGTTTTTTCGAATATCTTTTCGCCTCTTTATACATATACTATATTTATGTGTATGTGTCGTGCGTATGCCTGTGTGTGTGCGTGCCTGTGTGTGTGCGTGTATGCGTGTGTCTGTGTATGTGTGATTATAGTCTTACGGTCTTGCCCAATGCGAAGCGCAATACTTACGGCAAAGCGAAGGAATTTACCGTGCACATTGGTTACAAATTGCGCAAAAATTGAATGAAACAAAATTCCAACAAAAAATAAAAACAGATCGTACCCCATCTAACCCCTCTTAAGCTAACCACAGTTAGGCCTAATAAAAGAACTGGAATTTGCACCACAAAAAACATTAAAAAAAACTGGAATAGAAAAAATGAAAAGAAATTCAATTAAATTAAGTATTACAAGTGAAACAATGAGTATATCGTTTATTGCTGAAAAATTTGTTGCAACATTGAAGTACTAAAATAAAAGACCAAAAGAAAAGTGATTTAATAAATAAATAAGGAACAAAATTGTATTATAGTATACTGTAAATGTCCACAAATGACACACAAAACATATAAAGTTAACATTTTGATTTGTTTACACTGTTGTGTTTTCCTTATATGCCATATAATGCAATATACATACACACAATACTATCTAGTTGAATTGATTCAATAGAGCCTCTAATTACCTTACGAAACCTGCCGAAACCGAATCGAAACCTTAGCTTTAAGTGCAATTTTTAATTTGTGTTTTATAATACATTTAATTTAAGATAAAATTAGTGCAATTTCATTAAGACGCTATAAATATGTTTTCCTTTTCATATTATAATTTTGTTGATGTTATTTACAAAAAAAAAACACACACACACACATTCGATCTGATTTGAAAACCTTTAGAAGAACCCGTAAAACCAACAACTAGCCAGCCTAAGCTTCATTCCTAGTTCCATTTGTCAATGCAATTTATTTTTACAATTTTGTAATTTTTACGTTACGTTCTGATAAACCACATTTGCCACAAAAAAAAAACACACACACACCAAATCCCAATTGAAATGTATTGAGAACTTTTACAAATGTTTTACCACAACTGAAACCCAAACTAAGAACAATTCTTGTAGCTGACTGTTGTTCCAAATTCGTTTGCATATCTAAAGACAAAACATACCCATATATATACATAAAAATATATATATCTACCTATACCATAAATACAAGTAACTGCTATACAAATATACCATATACCATATATATATATATATGCAATCCTTATGGCTTGCGAATTGCGCATATCTTATTCAGTTCAGTTCCAATTACCAATTGGCCAAAGCCCACTGTGCGCATGGAATGTAAACGAGAGCGCATCCCATTGGCCAGCCATTGCATTCCATGGTCGCAAAGCTCGTTAAAACCAAATCCTATCGCCATTCGCTCACAGTGATAACGCATTATACGAAACGCAAATGTTTGCAGGTCGCGTTAAATGTTTTAACAGTGCCCGCAAGCACAATGCGGACGACGATGTCGAGCTCGGTGTGGCCGTTGCCGTCGTTGCAGCGGCTGACCAGCAAATGGCTGCTGATGAGGAAGAGGCAGAGGCGGAGGCAGCGGCAGCGGCAGCGGCGGCGCTCGCCTACCATGCCACGCCCAAGTATAGGCGTGCCATTATCTATGCGCCGCACGAAGAGAATATGCCCGCGACGGACCTGTACATGGACAACAACAACTACAATTGCGAGTACAAGTGCAAGGAGCGCAATATGCGCGCCATACGCTGCAGTCGCCAGCAGCACCCGCAGCCGCATCATCAGCTGGCGGCGGCGCCGCAAACGGCACTGAATCTGGGCCGGCACAGCAGCGCGATTGTGGCAGCCACAGCCGCCGAGACGCTGTGCGGCGCCGAGGCGGCCTACTCGCCCACGCCCAATTCGAGCAGCAGCAGCTATCGGGAGCAGATGCATCAGCAGCAGCAGCAGCAGCAGGCGCCGCACTTGAGCTACGCACTGCAGCAGTCGCCCAATGGCATGGCCAATGCATTGCAGCCGAGTCATCAGCTGGAGCTTGCCCATAGCTATGCCCACCACGGCCATCATGTGCCGCCCCATGGCGCACTCAGCTCGCCGCACTATCAGCCGGCACTCTCGCCGCAGCCCAGCTCGTCGTCCGCCTCGGGCAGCAGCACCTCAGCAGCGGCTGCGGCGGCGGCTGCGGCTGCTGCTGCAGCAAATCGTCGGGATCATAACATCGACTACTCCACGCTCTTTGTGCAACTGTCCGGCACGCTGCCCACGCTCTATCGCTGCGTCAGCTGCAACAAGATTGTGTCCAATCGCTGGCATCACGCCAACATCCATCGGCCCCAGAGTCACGAGTGCCCAGTCTGTGGCCAGAAGTTTACGCGGCGCGACAACATGAAGGCCCATTGCAAGATCAAGCATGCGGATATCAAGGATCGTTTCTTCAGCCATTATGTACATATGTGATCACTTTTTTAGATAGTTAGACCCCTGTGACGATATGTGAAACCCCCTACAAGCAATTGCAGACCCCCCTCAGTTATATAATTACGTATACGTAGAACCCTAAGAATTTCCGAGAGTTTCTTCAGCGCTCACCGCAATTTAATTAAAGACAGGTAAAAGAAATTAGCAAAAAAACAAATCAAATCAAATCAAATCGAATAAAAGGTTTTCAATTTAAACTTATAAAACAACATACGTAATCTTATAATGCTGAAAGATTAAGGTATTCGAGCAGATTTTAGCTAAATAACGAAATATATATATATACATGTATTGTACTCTTGTAGTTGATTTATCAAAAGACTTTCTATTATTTGTTATTCAAATAACCTCTAGACGCTTTTTTACATCATTTTAAAATATGGTACTACACATACATATATGATTATTATAAACCGCATATACCGAGGCCAGTACTTAAGTAAAAACTTTAAAAAGTATTACAATTAGAATTCCACAACTTTACGTTTACCAGTTAAACTTATTTGTTTAGGTTATCATTTCTTTGTTTATTTATTTATACAATTTATATAATTTATTTAAACATTTAACATGTGCTGTAGTGAGTTTTGACTAATACTATTTTGTGTGCCATATTATATAGTACTTAAACTTGTATTCTTATTAATCAATGCAACAACAACAAAAACAATAACCAAGATAAAGAAAGTAAATCAAATTTTAAGCAACAAATGCAACGAGTGAGGCTTTCAACAACGAGACTTAAGAGTAGCTAAAACTATGGAAAAGCAAAGATCAAACGTAAACAAAAGCAATAGAGATCAAAACGATTTCATAAATCATTAAGAAACAAGATATTTTAAATATATAAACAGTGAAATTGTTAAAAAATAAAACTAAACCAAAACGCGCTCAATTTCAAAGGCATTCATAAGTGCCACAGACAAATTTGAGCCCCTGCGAGCACTTCGAGCCAACTTTTATATATAAACGAGGCTGCAAACCCAACGAAATTTGGCGCTAGTTCGGTTCACGGTTCGGTTCACGGCTGGAACCAGTTTTTTCACATTCATGAAACCAGGTTTTGACACTATTGTTTAGCATATATTTTACAAATTGTAATAAAAACCATTCGATTTTCAATTTAATTTTGACCCTTCGACCGAAAATATTGCAGAGTGTGCATGTTTTCATACTTTTTCTTTTTATTTCTGCGCGGAATTGGCATTTACAAAATACAATAAATATAATTTACCGAAGCTCCTTCAAAAGATCCAATTTTTTAATACTGAACCAATTTGTATAAAAAAAGAGGTTCATATTTCGGTTCCTAGTTTATTCGAGCAATTGATTTGATTGAATATTCAGTTCACACTCAATAATAAATATAAATTTCGAGTTTGAACCAGCTTGGTTCAAACCCGCTTTGCAGCCTTGTATATATGGCAAGGTATCATCTGATATTTGCATTGAAATTGGGCGCTCGTTAAATAATTGCACTCGTATCTTTGGCAAGACACCCACCGAAGTGCATTAGTTGCATATTTATATTTGACATAATTATTTAAATTTTAAAAAATAATGTATTTGAAAGTGGTTTGCTAAAGAAACAATATGTTAGCCAAACAAATACTCAGCAATAAACAAATACAAAAACAGCAAACGCATTGTATTTAAAACAAGAACAGAAATAGTCGTAGTTTAAGCAAATGCAAATGCAAATGCAAACTCTTAAAAATATTTAAAAGATAAACACAACAAATCAGCAAGCAATACTTAACTTCTTTAACTTTACTTAATAAATCTCTTTCAAATCGAATTCCAGTTCTTTTCAATTTCAAACACAAACAAAACCCAAAATGTTTCACATAGGAACTAACAACCAGATCAACCAACTTAACCCAGTTTCTTATATAAAAAGAAAACAAAATTCGATTAATCCAAAGAAAAATTAAAAACAAAATAATAAGAAATATATAAACTACAAGCGCACTCTCTACCTACGGTAAGTTTCCATTTTCTAAGCTCTATTTAAACATAAACCTAAGTTAATTTTAAAATTTGTTTGATTTAATTTTCATTAGTTGTTAAATATTCTATAAATGTTTAAGTTACGTATTGTTTTTTATGTATGTGCATTCTTTTAACTTTTACAAACACAAGAATAAGCAGAAAGAAAATTTAAAATTTTTATAAAAATTACTGGAAAAAAAAACAGGAATTGGCCAAATAATTGAAAATGTTTACTATATATAAATACCTAATGTTTTGAAACACTTGCTCTCTCTCTCGCTCCCTGTCTCTCTGTCTCTCTTACTCACTTGCTATCTATACGTCTTTCTCTTTCGCTCTCACTCACACTCTGTATATCTTTCTCTCTCGCTGTTACTGTCTTTCTCTCTGTCTATGAAAGACGTTTTTTCTTTGTTTTTTCGAGCTCTTTATAAATGTTTGTATGCAGCAGGCAGGAGGGGTGTTGAAAATATGTTCCATATCGATGTCTCACAAATTTCCGATTTTCGAATTATTTATATATGTATATGTTTATATATATAATAATATATTTGCTGTGACTATATCGAATCAATCAGTTAATGCCCCTCTCTTATTTACCCCCCTGTATATTCATATATTAGCAAATACCCCCACAATATAAAATATAATACAACAACTACTCCTCAACACCCGTACAATTCAGTACAACATATCTTGAAACTAATACGGTTTCGGTTTACAACAAATAAATACAGAACTTAATACATGAATATATATATATATTTATATATATTAACAAACAGTAGAAACACGTTTAAACATCCAAACAAAACACACACTCATCATCTATTAAAACATATAACAAATTATAAATATTAATTATATTTATTTATAAAAAACAAAAATTGGTATAACCCAAACAAAAACACAGCTCATTGCATATGCATATGCATATATATATGCAAATATATATATTTATCTATATACATATATATATCTTATATTGTCGTATACATACATAATTTGGTTTGGGTTCTTCAAAGTATTCAGCACCTGAAAATTGAGCCTAGTTAATCTAATCGAATATTATTAATTTTTGATTATTGTAAATAATATTTTTATAAATTATTTCTTAAGCAATTATCCATTTCGCCAATGTCAACTATTTTTAATTGGTTCCAATTTCATTTTCTATATGTATACATAATTTGGTTTACCTTACCCCACACCCCGCGTGTCCAACACTTCCAAATTCAATGAAAATATTTAACTAAATTGTTCTTTGTATTTTTTTGCTGTTTTTTGTTTTGGGTGTAACAAAATTTTTGCGTGAAATTTGTTATTGAGAAAATGAATTTAAAAAAGAAAATCATCTATTTAACTCAATCAAGCTCCCCGCCACCTCTCATGGTTCCCCCCAAGCAACACACTTATGTTTCCAAATACATATATATTTAAATATTACTAAAATCCAGACAAGACGTTACATGTCTTCTCATCTCTAGATTATAAACTATTTAAACTTCAAACTCTCTTCATTGGCAATGCTAAAAAAGGGCAACAAAACTAGTAAAAAAAAACACACACAAAATTAAATGCAGTTTATGAAAACCATTGAATTATACAGCTTAAGAATAATTATAAAATAATTTTTCTGTTTCTGTGAATCACCAACAACAACATTGTTTTTCTCTTCTTTTTTCTTTACGCGTTTGAACGAACAAACCAAAACCAAAACCAAACCAAACCAAACCAAAAACCAAATCGAAAATTTTAAATATGCAAATCTTAACAATTACAAAATAAATATATGAATCAAAAAAATATATACAAATAACAAAACGAATCGAATTCCGTTATGCGGCGAACGTAGGCTCGAAGGCCTGGCACATGCGGCTCACCTTTGAGCGTCTCTCCGGTGGCTGCAACCTGCATCGCTGCAAGCTGTGCGGCAAGGTCGTGACGCACATACGCAACCACTATCATGTCCACTTCCCCGGCCGCTTCGAGTGCCCCCTGTGTCGTGCCACCTACACCCGCAGCGACAATCTGCGCACACACTGCAAGTTCAAGCACCCCATGTACAATCCGGACACGCGCAAGTTCGACAACCTAATGTCCGCCTCGGCGACAACGGTGGGCGCGGCCACGCCTACGGCAACACAGCTGGCGGCCGCATCGCAGGCGGCCATGGCGGCGGCGGCAGCAGCGGCCTTTACAGCAGCGCACCAGCAGCAGCAACAGCAACAACAGCAGCAGCAACGCGAGCAACAACAGTCACTGCAGCAACGCGAGCAACAACAGTCACTGCAGCAACAACAAGCGCAGCAGCAACAGCAGCAACTCCAGCAACATGCACATACACTGGCGCAGCAGCACATGCTGCATCAACAACTGCAGCCGCAGCATCACCAGCAGCAGCAGCACAATGCAACAAGCGAATGATATAGCCAGTACCTGGCCTGGAACTATGCTGCATGGAGTCCAGACGAATCGTCCTTGAAACAACCGCCGCCGCACTTTGCCAGCAACTATCAACATCAGCAACAGCAACAACTACGCCGGGCGCAGCCCTTCAATTTCTATGCACGCAACTACTATCAACAAAACTTTGAGGCCAAACCACAACACAACGGCAACATGAGATTGCAACAGCAACAACAACAGCAGCAACAGCAGCAGCAACAACAGCAGCGCCAGCAAAATCAAACGCAAACGATTGTCATTGATGAGAGCGACAATGAGCTGGAGGAGCTGGAGCCAGGTGGCATGGCCAGCTGTATGCGGCGCAGCTTCGACCATTATATGGCACAGCTGAAGCAGCTGGCGCCGTGCGCGGCAGCCAGCAGCAGCAACATGTGCAACAGCGACAACAGCAGCGGCAACAGCAATCAAATGGAAGCTAATACAATTACAACAACTACAACTACTAATGCTAATGCTAATGCTAATGCTAATCGTAATAATTGTAATCCCAGAAGCTACAGCAGGCAGCTGCCATAAGCAGTGGCAACAACAGCAAAAGGCAAACGTTTGATACTCAGACTAAGCATATACATATATATAGACAATTATATATATATATATATATATATATATAAAGCACAACTAACTGAATGAAATCTTAAATGTTGACCATGCATTGCAAAACATTATGGTAAGCCAAATTTATTTGTCAATTATATAGGAAAAGAAAGAAATCTTGAGTTATGAATTGAAGGAAGAAAGAAAGTATGGAATCAAATGCTGACCTGTGCACGATTCATGGTTTCAACTGGATTCAGATGTTGCAATTTCATAGTTACATAAAAAACCAACAAAAACAACAAACATTAATTAAGAAAAAATTAACAATAGTTAGAAAGAACTTGTAGCAAGAGGCAAGAGGCAACAAAAAAGGGTTTCCGAGTGCAGCCAACAGAGGACTTTATGCAGTTTGAAGGCAGTTAATCATAAACAACAACAAAAATAAATAGTACATTTCATATACAGTAAATATTAAATACTCTAACTATTTTATCAGCACATAATTCTAGTTGTTAGCTAAAGCAAAAAACATTTGCTGGCCTCCTGCTGCCAACTGTGGGGCAAGTATATTGTGCCAAGCTGTTTGCACCTGTTTGTTGTTGCATTTAACACTAACGTGCACACGCTTACAGCAAGTTTGTGTACATATATTTATATATATACACCATATAAAGCCCACCCCACTAATATGCAACCCAGCCCCAAGCACTTTATTAATAATTATTAACAGAGATTTCAAAAGGCACAAAGACATTGTTAGGCGCAAGATTTTGTGTGCAGCTAATATTTCAATACAATTCTTCATGTTAAATAAGTATATGCATATATATATACTTTAACCACACTGTAATATATTATAATAGGACCCCCCCCCCCCTCCCAAACCTACTAACACCACTTGATAGTACAGTTATATATATATATATACTATATGCTTAGAACCTAAACGAGATTTGAAAAGAAAAGATAACAACAAAAAATAATAATATTTATTTAATGTTAAACTTTGAAGACATGCATACGATGCCCTATTAGTATACAATTATATTAATTAATTAACTAATTAATTAATTAATTAATTAATGCAACATACAAAACGAAATACAAACAAACAAAAATGTTAATTTATTTATAACACACACGCTGGTGTGCAGGAGTATGTGTGCGCTGTGTGAATGAGAAAGTCCCAACCCGCCCACAACCCGCAACCTGCGCCCTGCCCCCCACCCACCTACCCTTTGTATTATATCAGCCATAACGCCATTAACCCTTTATATATATATATATATATATATATATCTTTATATATATATATATATGTGTCTGATAACTGAAAAATGCATGTGCGTGTCGGGCTAGGGCGCCTTCTGTTATCCAGTCCATATAATTTAGTTATATTAATTATTAAACATAATTTTGCAGCATTTTTTTATAAGCTACTGTATATATATATACTTATGATATATATATATATATTTTTACACATATCTTTTTTCACTAAGTAGTTTTGTAAATTTAATTTGTTGTTCTTGAAACCAACTGGTGCGCACATGAATTGCCGAAACAAAAACAAAATTAAACACAAAAAAAAAACATAATACTTTAATGAATACTATTTATTTGTTCTAATTTTTAACATGAATTTAGTTAAGTAATTAATGCTACATCAAATACTGCCCCGACTTAATGTTTTGTTTAATGTTTATTTTGTAACTTTTCGCTTTGTTAAACAACATGAAATTTATCTATATATATATGTACATATATGATGTGATAACTATAGTTAAACTTAAACAC